AGCGGCGAACAACTGTTACTGCAGCTGGATTTCAACGGCGTAAGCCACGGTCAACAGAAAGATGTGTGTGCGTGGGCTTGTGAGCGTGAGTGATCAAGCGTGGGTGTATGTTGTGTTTGCAAGTGTGTGTGTGTGTGTGTGTGTGTGTGTGTGTGTGTGTGTGTGTGTGTAGTCATGAAATATTCAGCTCATTTAGTCAAATATTCAGTAATAAATATTCAAGTCTAGTTTAACTCAGAGTTATGTATCTGTAAATGTGAGGCTCTTTAACCCTTTGATGCACAAGCTATGAAAACCCCTTCTAATGCACAACATGGGTCTAAAATGACCCGTATTCATTTCCTATGTTCCTATTCCTTTTGAAATAAGTTGATTTCAGCATTTAATATTTTCTGATCTATAAATTCCATGATCCATGAATATTAAAAATATATTTTTACAGTGAATACAAATTAATATTTTATTATTTTCAGGTTTTTTTTTGTTACTACAAGTTTAGACACGTTTATCCCACATCTTCCCATTGCCTCTGTAACATGGTTTTGAAGGTGGGGCCTGCCCTCCAAAGACCTCTTCATATGTGGCATGACAAGCTCTTTGACCAGCTCCTTGATGAATAGACATCAGGCATTGGTCACACCACCCATGTAATCAGGGTGTTGTGCAGTGAAGGTGTAGGCCAGGGGTGGAAAACGTCTGTCCTGGAGAGCCACAGCCTGCAGAGTTTTGCTCCAGCCTTGATAAAATCTCACCTGCCTTTAGCTGTCTAGTAACCCTTAGACATTGTTTAGCTTGTTCAGGTTTGTTTGATTAGGGTTGGAGCTGAACTCTTCAGGACTGTGGCTCTCCAGGATCGCCTCTGGTGTCGGGAACGCCTCCAGCGTGACCACGCTCTGAATCACATGTGTAATCGGTCCAATGCATGGGCGAGACATCACGGGCGGGGTGACGTAGCGACCAGGAAGCATAAATGCACGTGTGGTGAAACCGGCATCAGCTTTCTGTCATTCAGCAAGCGCTCTGTGTGTGTCAGTCTGATATCTGTTTGTGAGTCTTATTTGGTGTTGTCTGTCCCGTAGAGAAAAAAAAAAGAAATATGTCTAAAGCACATGATAAGAGACACCATCTAAGTAGGGGCGAAGGCAGCCAGCGTTTCAGACTGTGTGTTCCTCCCTGCCCGCGTTTCATTACGGGTGCGGATACACACAGTTTGTGCGTTGTCTGCCTGGGAGCAAGCACGCAGAGGCAGCTCTCGAAAAAAAAGGAGCTGACGGCCCGTTTTGGTAGCGCTTGTTACTGCCTTGCTTCGCTCTCAGAGGGCTCTCTTTGAGAAGAGAGCCTTCACTAGCGTTCCTCGCGGTGCCGGCCCTGCTTTCGCCGAGGCGGAGCGGAGGCTGTGCTTGTGAGTTTCACATATGGATCCGGTGGAGGGAATGTAGACGGGCGCGTCCCTATCTACTTCCTTAACCACCAGATTCGGCGCCCGCTCTCGGGGTTTCAGAAGCCCGCGCTGCGGTACTTCCCCCCCGTGAGAGGGCTCAACGCTCCGCCTGTCTTTCTCCGAGGAGATTGATACGGAGGGCGTCAAAGAGCTCGCCAGTTGCACAAGCATCAGTTACACAAGCATATTATCCTGATATTATAATGAGCCGCATTAATGGGGAGTGGAGCTCGCGCAGTCGGCTCCCGGGGGGTGGATTGTACTTTTCCCGCTGTTGATGTTGTTTGTGTGACTGAGTGGCTCGCGTAACACAAAATTTTAACAAAAAAAAAAACTCACAAAATGTTCACTTTTACAGATTAAAGTCACTTAGACTTCACACAGTAGACTTCTTTCACAAAACTGCACTGAGGCACAGGAGTGGATCAGAAGTTTACTTGGAGGACACTTCATCAAATTTAGGCTCTGTAAATACAAAAATGTTGGCATAATGTTAGTCAAATGCACTGCAAAAAAATCAACTTTAGGACAAATGCATTGACACTCAAACAAAACTGAAAACTCGTATTATTGATGTTGTATTCTGAAGGAGTATTGGAATTGAGATACATTTAGATGTAAATACATTTACACACCAGGGAATTTGAACTCAGGGAAGGAAGACAGATCACCACCACTGTACAACCGCTGCAGTTTAGTTATTTCCTCAGCAAGAGCCTTCTGATATTCTGAACCGGCATCAACTAGACCACCAGCGGCACTGAGAAAACACGAAAAGTAGCTATCAATTTATTTAAAAAATGTAAGATCACGAAGAGCAGCATCACTCTTCAGAGACAAGCAAGAGAGTTCGATAGTAAAACACCATGTACCCGCTTTTTGTGGAGTATGCGCGGATTGAATCTAGGAAAAGTTTCTGAATGGGGTCCAATCCAGCTGACAATCACATGAAAAGAGAGTGTTAATACAATCTCCAAGAAACAGACATCTTCAGGGCACTGAGCTAGCTGCTCTAGGCGCACCAGAGGCCAGACTCGCGAGACTGGTTTCCTTAGGAGGTCACCTGGCGGTGTGGGAGCCCCTGCCAAGTGTGCTTCATTGGGTCCTGCCCCGAGCAGGCTCTGGTCTAGTCTTCCTAACAGACGACGTGGGTCTGAGGGCTGTCGTTTTCAATAGGAGTTTTCAGCTATGAGAATCCTGATGCTGTGGCTCAGGACCTCGGAGGGCAGGCCCCTCTGGGGAAGAGAGGTTCACACCGCATTACACGGTGCCCGTCTCTCCTCCGTGCCCTCAGGAGGTCGGTCTGCCAACCCTGCCATGTTCCAGGGCGCAGCGGTCTCCGGTGAGCTCTTCTCTCACTTACCGCCCGGAAACGTAGTTGTACTAAGAGGCTCGCTACCTCTACGGAGGTCTCTAGAGCAGCTAGTACGGCCGTCCCCTGCCGGTCCGCCGCTTCAGGGCACC